ACATGTGGACCTCTCTCAGATTTGTTCATTTTGTAATGATATCTTTAATTCTCTAATTTTGGTGAATATTTTTGTCATTTTTGGTAAAAAATGATATTTTCGACTTCTTGTTGAAAGCCGCAAGTCCAATTGCTTTGATATTTACATGTATAGGTACTACATGTCGACCTCTCTCAGATTTGTTCATTTTGTAATGATATCTTCAATTCTCTAATTTTGGTGAATATTTTTGTAATTTTTGGTAAAAAGTGATATTTTCGACCTCTTGTTGAAAACCGCAAGTCCAATTGCTTTGATATTACATATATAGGTACTACATATGGACCTCTATCAGATTTGTTCATTTTGTAATGATATCTTTAATTCTCTAATTTCGGTGAATATTTTTGTAATTTTTGGTAAAAAGTGATATTTTCGACTTCTTGTTGAAAACCGCAAGTCCAATTGCTTTGATATTACATATATAGGTACTACGTGTGGACCTCTCTCAGATTTGTTCATTTCATGATGATATCTTTAATTCTCTAATTTTGATGAATATTTTTGTAATTTTTGGTAAAAAGTGATATTTTCGACTTCTTGTTGAAAACCGCAAGTCCAATTGCTTTGATATATTATACATATAGGTACTACATGTGGGCCTCTCTCAGATTTGTTCATTTTCTAATATCTTCTGTTCTTTAATTGCCATGTGCATTGCTAACAGCGGAGCTATCTCAGCCGACAGGCTGCTTGTTTTATTCAAACTACTTTTTCTCCAAAAGCGTCACATTACACTCAGACTTATTATTTTCATTTGGTGAAGATATCTTCATTTTTGTGGAAGTTTTTTTGTTATTATTTTTTTGGATTTTGTCACTTTTCCATAAACAATAGACTCCAGTATACAACTGTATCAGTTGGAAGCTTGGCTTTCTCAATATACATTGTCTTAGAAAATGAACTGGATGGGCCAATGTTTTCCATAAATGCTTCAGTTCAGGTCAAGCTCATTTCAAGGTTTATACGTTTTCTGCTTTTATATGGGTGATACTGAACAGTAAGGGTTGGAGGGTCATCTCAATGTGCCAGGCCAGGGTCATCTCAAGGCCACACTTTGATTGAATGTGTATTAGGGGTCAGGAGGTCACCCCTCCATCAAGGTCTTTCAAGGAAAGGTCATGGTCATCTCAAAATCACATGTCACTTTGTCAAATTGTCAAACTTTGTCATTCTAATTCAGTCACATGTACAGTTCCCAAATAATGCAAAAATATATTCTGGTAATAGTGACAACTTCATTTTTCACTTCAATTTCCAGTACACCCACATCATCAATTATACATATCCATGCATTACATATACAAATACATTTCTTCTTACGGGATATGCCTTTCAAGTGACAATTGCCACAATTACTCAACTGTCATAGGTTCCACTTCCTATCCACTGCCCTCTGCACTTGTCAATTACAGTGGAGCTCTATCAGCCACAAGGTCGCTTGTTCGATAAATCGTGATTAACTAATATTTATTCATTATTGCTCCCCCGCTAGGATTTGTTAAATAGGAATAGATTTTCCTTTACTGGCAGAATATATATAGACCAAATCAAACTGGAAGATATGGATGATGGAAAAGGTATGTATACCAGTGTTTTTCCAATTGCTGTCTTGGTATATATTGTGCATTTTGCTTCGGAAAACATATTCCATCTTCTTTCGGCAATTTAATGTGTATTCCTAGCATCAATAGGCCCAGGTCAAACACAAACACATACAGACTTTAACCAAGGTTCTTTCAAGTCACATCTGCTTGTGAATGAATTTATTTTAGTTTGTTCTTATCACATGTGCACCTTAGTTTCTGATGCTGGAAACAAGTTCAACAAATATTCATCCATGTGAACAAATTGTGACGTTAAAATATATTGTTTCATTTTTCAGATAATGCTTGGGGGATCAGTGTTAAAAATGCTTTTCAACTTCACAATCAAACAGACGAGAAATGGCACATCATATCTGTGAAGTCAAAAGAAGAAAAAGACAAGTGGGTCAAGGCATTTGCTGATGAAAGGAAACTGGTTAGAGACGACAGAAAGAAAGGTACAGATATGCTTTAAAGTAAACAATTATCAAGGTTTTTTCTAAATCAGGGAACAGGGGCGCAGCGCCCTGATACTCTCGACTGGCGCTCTCTTACCGATTGAACTTTAAAGTCATAAATACATTTCTTGAGCCGCGTACTTCCGTGCTGCCGTACAATATGAAATCTTTCTTAAATATGTTTTTCACTGTGAAAACTTCCCACCAACACCAGCTGACAATGTGTCTGGACACTAAATACACTGAAATTACTTCAAAAATATTTCAATGGCGATAGATACACCGTTAAAACGGCACAGAAACCTTTTGATATGGCGTTTCCGGGTCGATCCGCCATGTTGTTTCTGTGCTAGCATGGTTGCTCCGCTCCCTCTCCTGTGTGTGCTCCCTCTTGTTCATCCTTCTAGAAAAAACCCTGATTGTCATTCTCTATCTCAAGTGTTTTCTCTTGAGTACTGGCATTCTGAAATGATAATTAATTGACATGATGGTTTGATCTTAATCATGTTTTAGATTTTGTGATTCATTCAAGTAAGAAAGTTGAAGCAAAATTCAGTGCCTTGAAAGAACAGAGTCAACAGGCTGCCAAGAAACCGAAAAGTAAGTATAAGATATCTTTAATGTGCATGGTTTAGGTTTTATTTTATGTGTGTGTGTTTTAGCAGTTACTAAGGTGAAATTTACCAAGCATAATAGAAGTAATCTTGAGTACAACAGTTGCAAACAAGAAACACAGGGCTGATCAAAAACTCATATCAACACAGTGTGCATCAAATATTGCCAAATTTGTTTTAATTTTACATGTACTGGATGGTCCTCTAGAATTTCTTGCTTATTATATGTTCTGATAACTATGAATTGTCGTAAAAATGGTTCATTTTGGCAAGTTTATGTGTGTATTTTCGTAATTATTTTGTGGTCCTTCGGCTGAAATTTTTAAAAAATCTAGACATATTGGAGCAAATATCATGAATGAGCATAATTTCCACACAACGTACCAAGGCATTCACGTCAAATTTAACACCGTAGCATCAAAAAACTGTGCATACAATAATATATTTGTGTCAGGTGTTGTCTCAGTAATAGTTCCACTATGTCATACTGTTAAAATAAGCATGCATGTGATAAGAATATAATCCCACGATATTATTTCTTAGCACCGATCGTTGTCTGACGTCAACCTGAGAGAAAATATCATGAGATTAAATATAAATAAACAACTAAAAATTTGCAAGAGACGAGTGTAAAATCGTAAAAATTTTAACGGTTAGATATTTTGTCCTCTCTGAACGTGCTTGAATCACCAAAATTGTGGAAATTGCAATGGAATAAATTTAAACGAAATCTTGAAACATTTATCCTGTAAAATAGTGAAAAATTACTATTTGGGGGTGAGAATGTTTGCTTGTACTCTCTCTGTAGTTTGATGTAACTATGTATTTATATTTCTTGCTGTATGCTTCTAATATTGCTAATGTTTTGTAACGCATTGGTGCAAAGGGTTGTAAACTAATCTTTACTCTTCCTTTAGAAACAAGCCTCTTTTTCCTATCTCTCTTTGGTAGAATTCTTTAATCAACTTCGTATCTCTCTGTCAGCTGGTAAGTTTTATTATGACTGGTGGGTACAGTCTTGGTTGTTTATTTATTCTTTCATGTCACTATTTAGCAACGCTCAATTGTTATCCCTTTCACTTCATTTTCACGCATAAGAATAATTAATTGTAATTTCCCAAAAAACATATTTTTTGAATTTCTGAAGCTGATAAAAATCGTAAATTTTTAAAGGTGCAATGATTCTGCACTATGCTAGTTTATTTTCCATCATCTCAATGAAGTAATAGTATCAAAAAACTATTATGGTTGTACGTATATCCTTGTAAAATGCATTGTACTTACAACAAAAACTTTGTATTCACTGCATAGTTCATGATTGTTGATTTTCCATTGTAATATTGTTGAATTATTAACTTCATGGCGTTGCTGCTCCATGTATGGATGTTTTCAAAACTCATCTGTCTTGGCTTTTTTTTCACATCACATAGATAAGTGTTATGGTAGATTTCAACATGATTAAAATAAGAAATATTTTTAAGTATAATTTATGTATAATATTACTGTTTTTGTTGTTTGTTGTGAAAGCCATACATGTACTTATTACATCTGACTAACCCCCATAGTGAGTCTTACTCTGAGAATGCCCGTTTCATATAACAAAGCATTACGTTGTGTGTATACAATATGTTGCTGAAACATTCTGGAAGTAAAATGTTCTCTGAATGATGGAATAATTTATCAAGATACACTCACTTGTATTTGATTTGGTTCAGCAACACAAAACGCATCTTGTTTTTGATAATCAGATTGCGCTAGATTGAATATTAGTTTGTTTGTTTGTTTGTGATATTAACTCATTTAATATGTTGCCAACATGTATATTTGAGGTGCACTTCAAAACAAGTATGTGTCTAACAAACTTGAATGTAAGCCAACAAAATTGCACTTTTGTACGGAATGTTGGATGGCTTGCTAAAGTTTAATATTGGCTGAAACTACTTGCCTAAAAATCGTACAATACAATCTTTCTCTAATTCTTGTATATTGTTCTGTTAATTACAGATGTAAGCCGCAAAATCTCTCATATGCCGTTTCCTCATCAGCTGCAGCCTCTGGTTGACAAACCACAGAAAAGTGTCACACTGCCGCAAGGAATTTCCTCTGTTGATGCGTTTGTAGGAGAGAATTATAAAAAGAGAACGTGGAACCTATTCGGAACTATTCGAAAAAAGAAATGAGATGTCTCAGTAAATATATAAAAAGAGAAAAAGCCTCTTTGGAACCAACTGCAAACGAAGATGAGATGAGGGAATCTGTCCATCTACGAAAAGGACACGTGATACAGTGTGATATGTGGCATGGAATGATCCAGTTACACTCGATAGTAATTGACTGGCTTATCATTCTAATGGGGATGCATGTCCTATTGTGCATTGTCTGACTGACTCGTGGGCTGGGCAAGCTATGGTGTGTCGGCTTGTCGGTCTATGGATACGTGACAGTCACAATTGAAGAATTGTTCAGCTAACAGTGGTTTAGTAAGAACCAACAGAACAGTCATTCACTATTCTGATACACCGTATGTGCCTCAGAAGTCTGAGGCCAAGGGTTAAGGGCAGGCAACTGCCATGACATGTATTGGGGGATATCAACTTAAGCACAAATTTTGTGAGAGAAGTCGTACAAACACAATTTGAATGCAAAAACATTATTATGAAAATATTGTGATATTATCATAATTATTACAAGTGCAGACATTGGTACATATCGTACCTTTCTGGCAATGAATTTGTAACGAGGCAAGTGACGCCAGTTCAATTCTATTGTTTTAGTCAGTGCCATGTACCGTTTATGGTATCATACCGTCAAGTATGATCATAATGCTGTGAGTGCTGTAGGTGCAACACAACACTCCTGACATTGCTTAGAAACTCATTTACTGTTTCACTCTCTGGGACAAGTGTATTATAAAACGATTGTCAGTAGATGGATGATGTTTTTAATTTAGTGTGATTTGACAGGGCTTCGTTGAAGCAGAACTCTGTAGTGATAGAAGGTAGACCAATCAAAAGAGGAAGTTCAGTCATTGATACCTTATATGGACATCCTGATAGAAGTATAACTTTATTTGGTCATGTCATGTGACCAGGAGCTGGTCATGTGTGACTTATTCAAAAGAGATAAATAATTATACCCAAGTAGAGTGATCTCAATATCTTACGTTAAAATCAAAATTAGCATACCTAGCAAAACTAGCAAAATTAGTATTCATGTTGACGTTGACGTTGATTTTGAATATATATCCACATAACCCGGTAAGTTTGACTAAATTTCAGATTTCTACAGAAGTGTCTCTATAGTTACCCAGAAGCTCATTACTCACTAACTTAATAACCTTTCACAATAGGCCTCGGACAAAAATAGCCGTCGCCATCTCGTTGAGTCTCAAAACTTATTTTGACAAAATCAAGTATTGTGGCTCTCTTACTCTCAGTGTGATCTTTAAGGCAATTTGCATCTAAGATATATTTGTAATAAAATTGTAAAATCTTACATGTATTGCTTTCAAGAAATGTGTCTTCCACTTTTCAACCCCTCTTACATTGCCTGCCACGGGAGGACAAGAGGGAAGAGGGGAGGGGTATCCAATGGGTCCAAGGCATGCGTATTTACCTCCCTCTGACGGGTTATGATTATTATCACCAAAATCAAATCTTTTTACACTACCCACCTTTTAAATTTTGATGTCATTTTTAATAAGCATGTTGTACATTTGAGGTTACTGAATGAATGTAGTGATTATAATCACAGTATTTTTATAGCAAGAATATATATATGTGTCAGTGCCAATTTGTGTTTTTCAATCAACAAGAAAGACCTACAATATAAAATGCCAATCGATTTTCTCAGAAACTTCATTACAAATTTTTTTTTTAAAAAAGCTCAACATTCACAATATTGATTTTTATGGAAAATTTATATAACAAGTGCTTTCAGTACTTTTTGTTAATGTATATACAAATAAAACTGCCGTAACTGCTCTCCACTGAGGGCAGGCTTTGTTATAAAACAGGTGGAAATATGTAGCATAAGGAAAAATGTCTTTGTCTTGTATTTATTATCTCGGTTTATTTATTTTTTTATTTCTGTCAACCCCAGCCTGGTTTTTACTACTCTTTCATACCAGTGGTGTGTTTTAAAGTGGATATTTTGTTGTAAAAAAAAAACGACTGCCATAAGATCAAATGACAATGTCACCAAAGCTTATTGAAAAAAAAATATCATTTTTTTTTTTTTTTGCTGAAATGTTGTACAAACATTGTTTTTGAATGTTTGTATATTAAACCTTTGTTCAGCTGTGTGATTACAGAGCAGTATGGTAGAAAATATTTTGTGATTCTCAGATTTATCGAAATATTGGATTCTTTGATGAGGTCTATTATTGTATTTAAGAATATATTGAATTATGACAAATGTAATATCTTTTTCAATCTTTTTTTATATGCAATAAACTGGTAAGTATAATAATATAATTTATGGTAAAAATATGTATTTATTGATGTGAATGCTTACAATTTTCAGTGGTTTTATTTTACTGATGGTTGAAGGATGGCTACAAAAGAGGCTACCAATAGTTAGCTGCCTGTTTGAGGTTTTGGTTTCACTAAATCGGAACCCTGATCCCAAACAGGCCATTAACCTACTATCAGCATCTAAGTTTTGGTACTTTATCGAAGTAATATAGTAAATCTCTTAGGTAGTTTTTCTGCAGCCCCTCACTTTTTGTATAGAATGACAATGGACCAATTAACCCTGTAGAAATCTCACCTGAATTATGTATGTGTGTTACGTACCTCATTTTATATAGAATGACAATAGAACCAACCCTGTAGAAATCTCACCTTAATTATGTATGTGTGTTACGTACCTCATTTTATATAGAATGACAATAGACCAACCCTGTAGAAATCTCACCTTAATTATGTATGTTATGTATGTGTGTTACGTACCTCATTTTATATAGAATGACAATAGACCAACCCTGTAGAAATCTCACCTTAATTATGTATGTGTGTTACGTACCTCATTTTATATAGAATGACAATAGACCAACCCTGTAGAAATCTCACCTGAATTATGTATGTGTGTTACGTACCTCATTTTATATAGAATGACAATAGACCAACCCTGTAGAAATCTCACCTTAATTATGTATCATAGTGAACTACATGTTGTATTCAACCCTAACCACCTGCTTAGGTAATTCTGAATCGGTAGAGTGACCGTGTATCTACACAGCTCTTCTATCGATAAATTGTTGGTTGCTGCTCAAAAAATGTTCATTTTTTAAATACAAACTACTTACACCATGTGAGCACAACTTAGTTCTGAAAAACAGTCCTTCCTCGGTAAATGGGCATTGTTGAGATTAAACAAACAAGTAAACGGGTTCTGTTTATAACAGAGAAAGAGTACAGGTACTTTCTGAGTAAATGGATATTGTTGAGATCCAATAAAAAGAAAATTTGGAAGAAAGAAAGTTACCTGTAGTTTACTAGTAAATACTATCAAAGGTTAGTCTGGTTTTGTTGGGTATACAGCGCCCTCACGGACCTGCTAGTTGTAATGTTGAGTCTGCCCATAGATGGCGTACCCACATGTGATCATGTGCTAATATTATAATTGATATTTACATGCAAATTTATTAAGTGACGTTTTGACGGTCTTCTCAGACTCTACATTCAGTATCTAGAAAGGGTGCATCAAACATTGATGGAGGGGTGGTATTATGTTGACAAACTAGAAAGTTAGTTTCTGCAAAGGTAGAAAAATAAAAGTGCACATACATTTATAGTGTTGCAGAAACAGATGCAGTACTAGTTCTAATAAAAAAAAGCTTCATTTCCTAGAAAATTACTTCCATTTTAAACAGTATATGAACAACAAATGAGGAATCTTGGGCACACAATATACCGACATTGCACATTATAATTACTTGTGTGACGCAGATTTCGGGACGTGACTGCGTTGTGTGATTTTTTGTGTTATAGACTTCTGCGATCACATAAAATAAATAAATAACAGAGACGGGGCTTCAATGCTCTGGAGGTAGTGGAAAGTTCTTTATTCACTTGCGACATCATCAATGGCAATTCCTGCATAGAATGACGCCATATT